CTGCGCTGCCCTCCGCCGCTTCCCCAAGTCTGCTGCTGCTGAAACTGACTAGTGGCGGTCTTGGGGAAGCTGCAGAGCAGCTGGGGTGCTGCCGGGTTGGTCCCGCAGTGCCGCCCCTCACCCCCCTGCTCGGTGATAACTACTGCAGTCTGGGGGGTGGAGATCCTGCTCCCCTCCTGGAAACTCTCAGCGGCGGCACAGGGCTTCCCCCGCCTTCCTGCAAAATGGCAGAGGGTTCTCCCCTCTCTGCGCCATTTCCCGCCCACCCCCTGAACGCAGTGCGGGTCCCAGCAGACCCGTCACAGCCCCCCACCGGAGTACCTCCCGATACTCAGACATATCCGATAATCTGGCACCACCTAGGTCCCAAAGGTGTTGGATTATCGGAAGTCTACTGTACTTAAAAAGTTTTTCCTAATGTCTAACATAAATCTTCATTGCTGCAGATTGTCAATTACTTCAGTTATTTCAGTGGCCATGGAGAACGGTTGGTCAGATACTCTTTATAACAGCCTTTAACATATATGAATTATAGAATTATACTGTTGGGAGTGACCTCAGGAGGTCATCAAGTCCAATCCCCCCTCCCCCCAGGTAAAAGCAAAACCAATCCCAACTAAATTATCTCAGCCAGGGCTTTGTCAAGACGGGATTTAAACATCTCCAGCAATGACAAGTCTTCTTTGAGTGCTTGTTCACATAGATTCCAATCAGGTGTACACATGCCGCGTGCATGAGTGTTGGAAACTTTTCCTCAGCAACTCCCGTAGGGCCAGCTATGGAGACCTGTAGAGTGGTGTTGCGGTGTCAGTGTATATATACCACAGCCAACCCCCACACCCTTGTACAGTTCCTTCTTGCTGGCTACTCTGACAGAGGGTGAGTATCAGAATGGACGTGAACATCACATCTCAAAGAACACCAGTTACAAGAACAGATAATTCTTTTCTTCTTCGAGTGCTTGTGCATGTCCGTTCCAATCAAGGAGATGGGGTTGGAGTCCGGAATTACAGATTGGAGCACTGCCCTACCAACAGCTGCATCCTCCATGAACAATTTATTGATTGCATAGTGGGCCATAAATGTATGAACAGAGGACTATGTGGTGGCAGATCTCCTGGAGGGGAACTTGCACCGCAAATGCAGTCAACGACCAAAGGAGGAGGGACCCCTGCTAGGTCATAACAGGTATGTATGCACCTTACTATCCATGATGATATGCAGAGACAGGGTCCCTCTTCATTCACGCTGTAATCACCACAAATAGCTGCGTGAACTTTCTAAATGGCTTGGTATCATCTATGTAAAAAGCCAGGGCCCTCCTTAAGAATTGTGTGTGTAGTAATCTCTGCCTATCGCTAGAGCGTGGTTTGGGATAAAAGACTGGGAGGAAGATCTCCTGGAATTAACAAAACTTTCTGATGCTAGTGCATGCGACACGTGTACACCTGATTGGAAAGGATGTGAACAACACATCTCAAAGAACACCAGTTAAAAGAACAGGTAACTACCTTTTCCACCACCTCACTAGCTAGCCCTTTCCAGTGTTTCACCACTCTCCTAGTAAAATAGTTTTTCATATATCCAAACTAGACCTCTCCCCCCATAACATGAAACCATTGCTCCTCATTCTGTCAAATCCCCCTGTAACTTGAGACCATTGCTTCTTGTTCTATCAAATGTCACTACTGAGAGCAGCCTCTATCCACCCTCTTTGAAACCCCCTGCAGGTAGTTGAAGGCTGCTCTCAAATCCCCCCTCACTCTTCTCTTCTGTAGACTAAATAAGCCCAAATCCCTCAGCCTCTTCTCATAGGTCACTTACTCTACCACCCAATCATTTTGGTTGCCCTTCTCTAGATTCTCTCCAATGTGTCCACATCCTTTCTGTAATGTGGGACCCAGAATTGGATGCAGTACTCCAGATGTGGCCTCATCAGTGCTGAATAAAGGGGAAATCATCACTTCCCTAGATCTGTTGGCAATGCTCTTCCTAATGCACATGAAAATATGCTGTTAGTCTTCTTGGCTACAAGGGCACACTGTTGACTCATGTCCATCTTCACATCCACTGTAACCCCCCCCTTCCTTTTTTGCCGAACTGCTGGTTAGCCAGTCAGTCCCCAGCCTGTAACGTTGCTTGGGATTCTTCCATCCCAAGTGCAGGGCTCTGCATTTCTCCTTGTTGAACCTCATCAGATTTCTTTTGGACCAATCCTCCAATTTGTCTAGGTCACTCTGGACCCTCTCCCTACCCTCCAACATATCTACCTCTAACCCTTGCTTAGTGTCATCTGTGACCTTGCTGAGGGTGTAGTTGATAAAGTTGTTGAACAAAATGAGCCCCAGAACCAATCCTTGGGGCACTCTGCATGTTACCGACTACCAACAAGACATCAAGCTGTTGATCCAATCTGTGCTTCTTTAACTTGCTGGCAAGAATACTGTGGGAGACCATATCAAAAGCTAGATATATAGCTTGACCAGATAAGTCAAGATATATCACATCAACCACCTTCCCCATACCTACAGAGCCAGTTACCTTTTTATAGAAGGCAATCCAGTTGGTCAGGCATGACTTGTCCTTGTTGAATCCATGTTGACTATACCTGACCACTTTCCTCTCTTCCAAGTGCTTCAGAATGGATTCCTTGAGGATCCCCTCCATGATTTTTCCAGGGAGTCGGGTGAGGCCGACGAGTCTGTAGTTCCCCAGATTCTCTTTCTTCCCTTTTTAAAAGATGGGCTCTACATTTGTCTTTTCCATTCATCTGGGACCTCCCCTGATCACCACAAGATAACAATCAATGGCTCTGCAATCACATCAGCCAACTCCCTCAGCACTGTAAAATGCATTTGATCTGGGCCCATGGATTTGTGTATGTCCAGTTTTTCTAAATAGTTGTTAACTTGTTCTTTCTCCACTGAGGGCTTCCCACCTTCTCCCCGTACTGACGCAAAAAAGTAACAAGTACTTCAGCTTTTCCTACATCATCTATCACTAGGTTACCTCCCCGCATTGAGTAAGGGTCTTACACCTTCCCTGACCACCTTCTTTTTGCTAACATGACTGTAGAAATCTCTCTTGCAACCTTTCACATCCCTTGCTAGCTGCAATTGCAGTTGTGATTTTGCCGTCCTGATGATAACCATGCATGCTTGAATGATATATGTATACTCCTCCCTAGTCATCTGTTCAAGTTTCCACTTCTTGTAAGTTTTCTGTTTGTGTTTAAGCTCACCAGAGACTTCATTGTGAAGCGAAGCTGGTCGCCTACCATATTTTCTTTACTGTTCATCGGGATGGTTTGTTCCTGCACCTTCAATAAGGCTTCTTTAAAATACACCCAAGCTCTCCTGGATTCCTTTCCCCCTCATCTTATTGGCATCCCAGAAGATGGAAGAATCCCAAGCACTTCTAAATAAATAGGCATGGAAGAACTTGATCTAAAAAAAATATGGAACTGGTGCATTACCCACAATATTACTAATACTGTATCATAGCTTCCAGGGCAACAGAACATGATGGGAAACACATTGAGCAGACAGTTTTCCCAAGAACACTAATGGGAAATGAACAATAGCATCACACAACACATATTCCACATGTGGGAGTCATCACACATCGATCTGTTTGCAACACACAAAACTGCAAATATCCAAGACTTTTCTCACAAACAGGATTAGGACTGCAAGCCCTAGGGAAATGCCTTTGTCATCCAATGGAATATGCCACTCCTCCACACGTTCCCAACGATACCATTATTATCCAGAGTGATATACAAGATATGGACCAGCAGAGCCACGATCATTTTGATAGCTCAGGCATGACACAAACCATGGAAACCATGTTGGTCTGGGTCATGTGTGAGCTACTTATATATACCTTAAAGGGTTTAAGTGTCAGCTTGACAGAGCCCTGGCTGGGATGATTTAGTTGGTATTGGTATTGGTCCGGCAGAGGGCTGAACTTGATGGCCTCCTGATGTCTCTTCCAACCCTATCATTCTATGATTCTATCGCATCCAATTCTGCCCCCACCCTCAAGGATGTGGACGCATTGGAGAAAATCCAGTGAAGGGCAACAACAATTATTAGGGGGCTGGAGCACATGACATATAATGAGAGGCGAGGGATTTGCGCTTATTTCGTCTACAGAAGAGAAGAGTGAATGGGGATTAGATAGCAGCCTTTAACTTCCTGAAGGGAGTGGGGTTCCAAAGAAGGATAGAGAGAGGCTGTTCTCAGTAGTAACGGATGGCAGAATAAGGAGCAATGGTCTCAAGTTACAGTGGAGAAAGTCTATGTTGGATATTAGGAAAAACTATTTCCCTAGGAGGATGGGGAAGCACTGGAATGGGTTACCTAGGGAGATGGTAGAATCTCTATCCTTAGAGGTTTTTAAGTCCCAGCTTGACAGGGCCCTGGCTGGGATGAGTTAGTTGGGATTGGTCCTATTTTTAGTAGGAGGTTGGTCTCAATGATCTTTTGAGAGGTCTCTTCTAGCCTTGTGATTCTGTGATTCTAAGTCTTCAACCCTAAAATGGCATGGGGCCTAAATCTCAGATCCCTTACCAGAGCCCTTTTTGCAGCACTTGCTCCCTGTTCTCCATTCCCTTCATTGATAAATGCAGTAGTGTTCCAGGTCGTGAGCAACTCAGTACATAGAATGGGTGAACTTGGGGCCTTCTGGCCAATCCTCCGTATACCATATTCCTTAAAGACAAAGTGACTATTCATTTACACCCTATATTTATATGGAAGGTACCTTCACCATTACATTTCAGTCAACCTGTCCCTCTATCTGTGTTTTACCTAAGTCATATGGGTCTATGCAGGAATCTATCCTCCACACTCTAGATGTTAGAAGAGCCCCAGCTTTCTGTGTAGATAGAATGAAGCCTTTCTGTAAGTCACCTAGACTCTTTATTTCCACTTCTGAACAATTGAGGGGTACAGCTATATCAAAACAGAGACATTGAAATGGATTTTTAATTGCATCATTTATGTTACCGACACCAAACTACAGAACCCCTGTCAGGGATCACAGCCCATTCAATGAGATCATTTTCTACCTTGACTGGCTTCTTACATTATGTTCCTATCAGAGAAATACACATGTTTGCAATCCACTATGATGTAATCAAATTTTACAATGTGTAGATTCAGAAGTAGAAACAGAAAATAGACTATGATATATGATAAGATATATGTATAATGAATTATTTGAAAGAAAGGATTTGTAAGATAGGAAATACATAACAGTGCTGTGTAATGGAGATGTTTAAGAATCTGTGACATTTGTAAATTTCTTTCCCATTAAGGACAGCACGTGGGAAATAATAAAGTAAAAAGGCATAAAGAATAAAAATAAATAAATAATACTAAAGTGAAATTTAAAAGTCTGTTAAATAGATTCTTATAACCCTTTAAGATCTTTTAAAATAGACTTTAAAGTATTTTTACCTGTTTCTGAATTCTAAATGACCTGTTCTCTTAATGCTTTAAAAGATTGAACAATTACTGTATCTTTTAAACATTTCTCTTTACTATTAAACATAAAGTATGTCCTAAGTTCTAAACATATTTTGCATAATAATTAAATTAATAAGTGAAATTAAAGGGCAGAAGCCATAAAAGTCAAGTGAAATATTAATTTAAACTGAGTTGTCAAAGATTGTTACTGTCGGAGTAAACATGACTCTGCAAACTGTGTTAGTGATGCTTCAGCAGATAATGCAAGAAGCATCACATTATTTAAAAACATTTAAAGTATGTTACAAGTGCTAAGGTATGTAGAGAATAGGATTTTGAATTGATAGTAAGAAGTTTCATTGTGATTGTACTTTTGGTGAACAATATCACTCAGCTTGAGTTTTGGCATTTACACCATTATCTGTCAGGTATTTTCACCTCTTTATGCAGTAATTTTCAACTGCAAATTTCAGCTTCAATGTTTGAAACAAACTACTTTTGACTGTATGTATATGTATTGTATATACATGCCCTATGTAAATATGTACCATATAGTGACAAATATGCAATGGGTTTCTAAAAAATGCACTGTAAAATTTTGGTGAATATCAAGTCACTTGCTCAAATGTAGAACTTGTGTGCTGATAACTTGGCCAGTTGTGCCTGGTAGTAGTTGTAACTGTTGTTTTTTGGGTGTTGTTGGTATTACCACAGAATACAACAGAAGCAGAGTGAGGTTTATGAAAATGTATTCTGACACCAGCAGTAAAGTGACTTTGCTAAATCTGAAGGGTTAATCTAGCTTAATTCTGTCAAGATGCATTCATCAGAAATATGTCAAGTTCAAAATCAACATTATGGTGTATTCCAAAACAAATAAAATACATTATTACAACCACAGATTCAGTGGGCCAGGAAATTCTTTGGTTTTAGTCATTGCTGCTTTTCTGGTCAATTCCTTTAAGAGAAAAGAAATGAAAAACAATATCTGAACATATTAGAGAGACCTCTACAATAACCAGAAATCTTTTGGGAAAGTGGGTTAGAAAGCCTATTCACAGAGTAGCAACTCTAGCTTGTAAACCAGATTAAGAGAAGGAATTAGATTTTTTTCTTCTGATGTAGTGAAGTGATGACTATTTCCAGTGTTTCATTCCTAAGACTTTTGTGACAGACACAAAGACAAAGAGTTCTGTGCAGAGATTTAACTTTGTTAAAAGCTTGCTTGCTAACCTGAGCACTAACAAACTAAATGAATTTGCAGCTCCCTCTGCTGTTCCAGTCTGTTATAAAGTTCACTATGTTAGGATCTCAGGCAATTCAAATAGCTCTCTCAATGAACAACAGAAATATGTGATCATATTGTGAGTAACAAGATTTTACTCCACTGGTTAAAAAAAAGAAGTACAAAATAAAAAGCAGAATGCTTAGGTAATGGTGATTAAGGCTGTAATACCACTTTTACTTCTTTCTACACCAGCCATGCAGAATTAGAAAGGATCTTGAATATGACCTAATAACCTATTATTAGTGTATGATTAATTGTTTTGGTGAATGCTAAAGAATTTTGGTTAAAGTTTAAGATTTTCTATCAAAATTATATTTAACTTTAATATTGCACATAAAGCACAGGTAGAAAATGAGAGGGAAAATTCCACCCCCAAATGTGAGCAAGTATTATCACTCAGTAATTAATTCATGTCTTCACTTCTTGTGTTAAAACTTTCATTTTCTCATTGTAACAATGCATGACATGGTTCAATAAACAATCTGTTGTGTTTTAATACAGTAGATGCCTTTTCTTACAAAGCCATGTATCTTATGATGAGTTCTCCACAAAAAATTCTGTAAGTTAAACTTAATAGCCAGCAACATTGAAAAACGACATCATGCAGTTCCACTCTCTAGTGCCATCTCTGCTGTGCTGACACAAATTTTGCTTCTGGCTATAGTTTACTGATTTTTCGTAGTCAGTGACACTGTTAAACTGCTCTAAACTTTTATCATTCAGCACAAGCTATTGTAAACTCAACAGCCTATAAGTTGAAAAGCACTTTTAGGAAAATCTAATCTTATAGCTTCTGTTACTTTTGAACACAATACTGTTTGCTTTTTCTTTTTGTTTTGTTTGTTGTAGGTGAAAATGGAGGTACTCAGAACTCTATCAGCCATACAGTTTCACAGGAGGGGACATTCACTCTTCACAGTCCAAAGAAATCAGGGAAGATTTCTCCAAAATTCCACAATCGTATGGTCCACAGAGTCTGGAAGGAATGCATGCTCAACAGGTCACAGTCCAAGTGAGGGAGTAATTCTGCTCATATTCTTCAGTAATAATAATTGAGCTGTCATACTTTACAACTTGCTAGCTTTGCCTTTAAATGCTACCTTAGTATTTCTATGATTTCCTATGCCTCCGTATTCAAAGGGAATAATGGAAGGTAATTTTATCTAAGACAATTACCAATTGTTTTAGCGTGAGAACAAGTAAAAGTAACAATAATGCTGCATTTTGATTTGTTTAGCTCATTTCATTTATGGCTGTCTGAGCTTTACATATGCAGCTAAATTCTGGTCTTGGTTACTCATGAGCTAACTCATTGGCAGCAGAAATACTAGTTCATATTAGAAATACAAAATAATAGTACTGAAAGGTAGATGACCTAACTAAGGACAAATAGCCTGCTAAGGTTTATATTTATAACATATTTATAGATGTAAACATTTGGAAGGATATATTTGTATTTAACAGAATATAAGTCAAAGTCCAAAGGGCAGAGTGGAGCATTGCTATTAGTACACTACCTTTTCATTTCTGAACATTTAAAATATCTTGCAATGGGATGATGTACAGATGTTCCAACACGTTTAACCTCTGCTATTCCCATGTATTTTCCTCATTGGCCCAGTTAGCAACATTTCCAAATGCAATTTTAATTGTTACCTGTATTGCCTGCCCTGTGACTTTTTGTTGTTGTTTCCTTATGCATAAGGAAATAATTACTATAATATTTATTTTTAATCCTGTTAGGAGGTCACAAATTACTACTTCAAATCTGGAGGAAGAAGTCCCAACCAACACTGTTTCTTGGGATTTCATGGACCCAGTCGAAAGAGTCAGTTGTTCTTGTTCCAGGTAGGTAGCAAAGAGAAGAGTTATTGTGTCAAGTTAAATGAAGCTTGCAAAGTTCATTCACAATATGAATTAAATGCAGAATCACTACACAATAAGCAGGCATGCTTATAAAAAATAGAGCAAGATCGTCAGGTGCTGGAAATCAGTCTAGTAACATCAATTTATGCCAGCTGAAGATCTCGTTTGTTATCTTCTAATGATATGCAGTGAAGTGACAGGAGTTTAATTAACTCTTGTCATCACTGTACAGTAGGGGTGTGATAGTGTAAACTAGTAAACAGTTACACACAGGACTCCCTCCACCCGCCTTCCCTTCCCTGCCTCTGCACTGCTGCCTCTGTATCAGTGCAAAGGGCAGGTGATTCTGCAGACAGCTTTCAGCCCCCCCATGTGCATTGACTGCTGCTGAGCTGTCTCTCCCCTCTTTTTCTCAAATTTACAGTATTTAGTCTTTTCTTCTAATGTTTAGCTTTGTTTTCCAGAATTACAAAAACGGCATTTAGCATATCCGTTTTAAAACTTGACTTAAATAATATATTTCAAATAAAGTATGATGTAAGAAAAGTTATGGAGCAAAATATATTTCAGGATGTTTAAAAATGTGTAGTCTAGAACCAAACAAAAATCAGCCAGTCTAAAGTTTCAGAAGTTCCATGCAGAACATCACTACAGTAGTGTTTCCAATAGAATGGGCGAGGACGCACAGAGACTTGTAATATTATAACTTTTTGTAGAATTTAATAAGGTTTGCATAAAGCCTTCATTCCAAAGTGCGTGTAAGAGGATTCCTGCCTATACCCACAATCTTTTTAAACTATTCTGTGTTAAATAAGACAGAGTAAGATCTAGCATTGGGAATCCTGTAATTTTCAAATGAAACATCACTGACCTCTCTATTTTGCAGCATTAAAAAATGTGGAGGAGAGAGGAAAGAGCATGTATGAATTTAGATATTTGTCTCGTCTTCAGATTTTCCCTCTTCCAAACTACTGCTTTAAACTGTGTTGTTGCCATCTTTGTGGAAAGTGTGCTGTTGTGTGTGAGATGGAACTTTCATACTCCACAACATTTTAAATTGGTTGGGTTCTCAAAAGCTTCATAAACTGTTTAAATTGATAGTGCTGCTTAAGACATCACTGAAGTGCTTAGCCCAGAAATTCAGAGAACCCGGAAGCATTATGCTAAGAAATTTTTGCACAGGTTTATATGGTTTTTATAAAAGAAAATGTGGAAACTTCAAATAGAATAATCTAGCAGATATATAGTAGCAGCATATTGAGTATGAGGAGTTCTGTGTTTAACACAAAACATGAATCATTTCATTACTGGTTAAAAGTTAACTTCACAGTAGAAAAGGGGGAAAGCTTCAGAAACAAAAAAGGAACAACTACTAATAAAAAGTAACAACTACATAAAAAGAGTACATTCAAAGGAGCAAAAATGTAGGAACATCCCTTTTGTAAGTGTAGACCTGAGTAAAGTTGATCTATCAGTAACGTGGCCTATTAGAGTTACAGAGTGGTAGCTGTGTTAGTCTGCAACTTTAAAAACAGCGAGTAGTCCTGTGGCACCTCAGGGCATGTCTACACTACAATGTAATTTCGAAATAAGATATTTCGGTATAATAACTCCTGAAATAACTGTTTCAGAATATCAGAGGGGTAGCCGTGTTAGTCTGAATCTGCAAAAGTGACGAGGAGTCCTGTGGCACCTTATAGACTAACTGAAGTGTAGGAGCATAAGCTTTCATGGGCAAAGACCCACTTCTGATGCATCTGACGAAGTGGGTCTTTGCCCACGAAAGCTTATGCTCCTACACTTCAGTTAGTCTATAAGGTGCCACAGGACTCCTCGTCACTGTTTCAGAATAATGCATCCACACTACAAATGCCCTCAAAATCGTGCAGATCTACATCGAAGTAGCACGCCCACACTGATTGGAGCTTGAATAGCATTTAAGGCTCCCCTCTCCCCCAACCCAGAAGCACGCCGGGCACGGCATCAGGACAGCAGTCACTTCCTGAAGCTGCTGCCTCAGGTTGTCTGAGGCTCATGCTTAAAGGGGCCTCTCTGTACAGTCGTGTCTCAGACTCTTCTCCATTGCCTACCTCCTTGAGAGACAGCAAACTCACACTGCGTGCTTTGGTTGTCTTTGTGGACACCACAGCACTTCCAACATGGAGCCAGGCCTGTTGCAAAGCACTCACTGGCTTTTAGACCTGCTGCTGCAACTTCTGATGTTTATGCAGGCTGACTTTGTGGCACTGCTTCAGGACAATGACCAGCCTGGATGGGGGAATCTCCTCACCCAGATCCAGGTGCTCCTCGTGTACTCCATTCTCTCCCCTGCCTCCCCCAAACCATGAAACACCGCTTCTGGCAACAGGAGACCAGTACCAACTGATGGGACTGGATCGTCATGGAGTGGTGGGACAACCAGCAGTGGCTCCAGAATTTCTGCATGCGGAAGGACACCTTCCTGGAGCTCTGTGAGTGGTTCGCCTTTGCCATCCACTGATGGGACACCCACATGTGACCCGCCATCTTCCTCAAGAAATGAGGGACTATTGCCATTTGGAAGCTCGCCACGGCAGACCACTACTGCTCTGTGGGGAGCCAGTTCGGTGTGGGGAGATCAACTGTTGGGGCCATGCTCATGCAGTTTTGACTCTTTTGCTATTGTCCCAGGTGGATGGAGAAGCACTGGAATGACGTTCCCACGGGGAGGTGGAATCTCCATCCCTGGACATTTTTCAGTCCCACTTTCACAAAAGCCCTGCTGGGGATGGGGTACTTGGGGTTGCTCCTGCTGTGGGAAGGGACTTCAGCTCGGGATCCTCCCAAGGGCTCTGGGAACCCTGTGGTTCTCTGTTCTCCATCTACAGTTAGACAGGGCCATCCATGCCATCTTGCTGTACGGGGTTGTCATTCTTGGAGATGTGGAGCCCTTCATTGCTGGCTTTGGTGCCATGTGCTTCCCCTTCTGGATGGAGGGGAAGAGGGCATTGACAGCAACCACATCCCTATGCAGGACCCAACCATTGGGCCTGTGATTACATCAATCGGCAGGGGTACTGGTCAATATTCCTTCAGACCCTCATGGACTACAGGATCTGGTTCACCAACATTAATGTCGGGTGATCGGGAAAGGCTCTTGACACCTGCCTGTTCCAGAAGATGTACTTTTTTCCCCAACCGCACCATCAGGGTTAGGGACGTGGACATGCCCATTATCATCCTGGGTGACAAAGCCTACCCCTTGATCCCCTGGCTCATGAAGCTCTGCAACAAACACCCACCAAGGAATGCTTCAACGCCAGGCTCAGCAGGGCCCGCATTGTGGTGGAAGGTGCCTTCAGCTGCCTTAAAGGGAGATTCCAATGTCTCCTCACCCGCTTTGATCTTGGTGACTGGAACATCTCCCAGGTGGTGGCGGCCTGCTGTTTTCTCCATGACCTTTGCAAAAGTAAGGGGGAGACTTTCCTGCCAGGGTGGGGGGCAAAGGCCAAGCAGCTTGCAAGAGGTTTTGAGCAGCCATGCATCACTGCCATCCAGCAAGCCCATCACAGGGCTTTATGCGTCTGGAAGGCCCTGAGGGATAGTTTCAGTCAAGGCCAGCTGTGAGACTCCCTCAGGCCTCCACACAAGGGGCCTCTGCATTGCCCCTGTGTGCCTTTCCTTCCCCACCCCTTCGTTCCCCTGACCTCCCTTCACCACTCCTTCCTCCCCTGCAGACCAAATAAAAAAGACTTTTTGTTTGAAACAACAAACTCTCTGATTTTTATTTGGGAAATATAGAACTGTGGAGGGATTGGAGAAAGAACCCGGGATGGAGCAGGGAGTGGCGCCTGCCTCAGGTTTTCCCGCTTCCTCTTGTTTGTGGCCTTTGATTTCCCCGGGAGTGAGGGGCTAAGAGGAGAAGCCAGCGGAGCAGGAGCAGGAGCAGGTGCGGTGAAAATTGAAAAGGAGCAAGTGTGGGGATGACTTTGGGAAAGAACAGGTGCAGAGGGAGGCTGCTGGACCACTCT